AGTTAGTTACACGAATTCAGATATGGGATAAAATCGGATAGGGATGAATGGGTTTAAGAGTTTTTAAGAGTTTAAGAGTTTTAAGAGTTTTTAAGAGTTTTAGCCAAATGCTTTATAATATAGCATAGATAAATGTGTTTTTTGAAAGTATATTTCAAAATGAAAATTGAATAAGATTAGGGTGCAATATGTCATAGAGTAAAAGTGAGGGGCATGTTAGTAATAAACAAAGAAGTACAGGGTTTATAATGATGATAACAGAGTTTGTAATCTAATCGGACGGCTACAGTTCAATCTCTATAAAACCGTAAAGCATATCTTTGTACGGCTGCTAAAACCCTAATATACCTTTCTCTTCCCAAATTTCTTCAAACCTTCACATATACTCTTCGTCACTTTCTCTGTAGAAATTTCGTGCCAATTTTTCAAAATATGTCGGACGAAGAGCATCAATTCGAGTCAAAGGCTGATGCAGGAGCATCCAAGACCTTCCCTCAGCAGGCTGGTACTATCAGGAAAAATGGTTACATTGTTATAAAGAATCGTGCTTGCAAGGTATTGATTAGTTATTGTTATCGTGATTCTTCTTCGAATGATAGATCTTATTTACCTTGTTATTGTTTGGAGTTGGTATTATTGGTCGTTGCTGTTAATTTTGAGTATTGATGTAGAAAATCTGTTGTTGTGTGCATGTTCTTCGTACTAGACTTGTCATTACTTTATGGTTTATGTTAATTTTCTTGATTTGATAGGGTTGATTTGCATGAAGAATGTTTCGTGTGTTGATGAGTGTTAACTTTTCCGTTACAAAGTCATGGATTGAATTCTCTTAGATTTAATGATTTTTCTTGGTTCATATGATTCTCATAAGTTCTATTATTCGCAAGTTTGTTCATCTGTTTACGGACTACCACGGTTTTCTAATGTGTGATTTTAGGTTTTATGTTGTTAAGAGCTATATGGGGTGGCATAATGGAATACATATAGATCGATTCTCACCTGTTTCATGTTGTTATGTATGGGGGAACTTTAATATGATTTGTTGTATCGGTATCTTAAATTCATAACCGACTTATATTAGTCTGAAGTTCCCTAGAGTGCAGATCTGTGTTAAATTACCCATATTCTTGATGGATTACCACACAGTTCTATATGCAATAGTTTTCTACTTATTATCTTATTTGTTTCTTAAGCTTGTTGCAACCCCGAGTTTCTTGTCGCTATGAGTGAGTGGTTAATCTTATGTGGATGCACCTTTCAGTTTGAATATTGCCCTTTTGACTAGAAAGACTTTTGGAAAACAAAAGCAATTTATTGATTATGTGTTTTCTGATATGTATAAGAAAATAAGATGGATTTTCTTGTTTAATACTCTCTTATGTGTCGACTGCATAAATTAATTTTGCAGGTTGTGGAAGTGTCAACTTCGAAGACTGGCAAGCATGGTCATGCTAAATGTCATTTTGTTGCAATTGATATCTTCAATGGGAAGAAACTTGAAGATATTGTTCCATCTTCCCATAATTGTGATGTACGTTTTATGCATATCAGTGATGAATTTCAATGAACTTTCTATGTTTTGCACTTCTTTGTTTTGCAGTTATATGTATGTGACATTCTTCTTGATTTGCAGGTTCCACATGTTACTCGTACCGACTACCAGCTTATTGATATTTCCGAGGATGGATTTGTACGTGCCTCTTACTGTTTCTTGATTCCTTTACTTTTTATTGTCATAGTGTCTGTATTCTGATATTGTACTTGATGGGTGTATAGGTGAGTCTGTTGACTGAGAGTGGTGGTACTAAGGATGATCTCAAGCTTCCAACCGATGATGCTCTGCTTTCGCAGGTTGGTGGATATAATATTCTTGTTTCATGTCAAAGACCTTCCAGCCTAGTGGTAAAGGCTTGGGCATGGCATAGTCATGAACCCTAGTTCGAGCCCTGGGAGGGGAGTGTTGGCGACATTTAAGTGGGGCCATGTTTAGCCTCCAAACTTGCCGGGGATTAGTCGGGTTTTGGCCCGGACACCCTTACAAAAAAAAAAAAAAAACATTCTTGTTTCATTATCATCACCTCTTATTGATTTAATACACCCATCTCATGGAAACTGCAAGCTTATGACTTGGTACAAGGTTTAAGTATATATGCATGGTTTGTATTATAACAAATGATTTGCCTATTCTCTTAATGTGTCCAATTATAACTTATGAGTTATACTTGGAATGCATATTAATAAGGTGTGAAATGTGTGCAGATTAAGGATGGTTTTGCTGAGGGGAAGGACCTTGTTGTGACAGTGATGTCTGCCATGGGAGAAGAACAGATCTGTGCCCTCAAGGATATTGGTCCCAAGTAGCTTGTCAAGGTTTCTTTCTGGTGGTATACTTGAGAATTGAGACCAATTAAGACTTTCTTATTATTTAGCTTTTTTAATATAAAGGTTTTCATGCGGATTCAGAACCGTTTGCTTGAATTATGGTGATTGGTTATTCGAAGATGGTTATTAGGTTTTCTGTTTTCAACAATTTTTGTTTTGTTTTCGTGGTTGATTTGGTAAAGTCTCAAGACAAATTGGTTACGAGAAGGGGGATTTGTACACGTTGCATCTCATCTGTTGGGAAGCGACTTGTGTCCACTTTTGATGTGCCGATTTTGTTTCTTGGGTGGTCTCGTAGGTTTCGTCAGTTATGATAATTTCTTTTTTTATTTTACTGTAAGGTTCATGTGGTTTTTGTAGTCACGTATTGCACCATAAGAAATCTATAAAGTGAATAATATGAAATTTTACATATCCGAGCTGTAGCACATGGTTTCATAAAACCACGTGATGTTCCTGAACAATGAAATCAATGCAAGATACAAAGGTCAAATAAACCATACAATTTTTGGGCAGTTGTCTCCGTGCAACCTAGAAATCCAAGACTCGACATTAGCCCCGTAGATCCAAGTTTACACGAGTCCTAACAAAAAAGGAGAGTTTCAGCAAGTTACAATCATAGGTAAATTCAAGACTATGAAACTGGTTAACGAAAGATCGTCTGAAAAATTTCTCAACCATCTGCTAAGATCTTGGGTTCATTTTTTGATTCAGAAGTAACGACGTGATACAACCGCGAAAGGTTCGGCATGAAATATCCCCTCGACTCTTGACAAAAGAGCAATTAAAGTTGCACGATGCATAATGGCGAGGATCTCCTGTTCTATGAAACATAACGTATAACTGTTCCAAGCCAACCTTCGGGGATTTTATCTCTCAATTTGCCACTTAGGGCTGTCAACGAGTATTCTGTTGCTGCCTGTTAATAGTTAAGAGGAACGTAGTGAGTTTGAGTTAATTACTTGAGACGAAATATTATACACACACACGTGTACCTTTACAATATAGACGTCGATACCAAGTTTTGCGATCATTGCAGCTTCTGATATTTTGGTCGCCATCCCTCCCGTTGTATCATGGGATGCTACACTAATCTCAACTGCTTCATGCAATATGATCATATATGAAATGATATTTTTGTCATTATGGAAGAGCGTTTTAGATAACCGAGTAATGACTAGAAACTTGTACAAAACTATTTGTCGAGTCAAATGCTACTAACCTTGCTTATCCGTGTCTGCTAATGTTGGTTTCACAACAGACCAGGTGCCATCTTCACGTACAGCTGTTATGGCCATCACTTGATCAAGTCGAACAATGATACAAACATCAATTATGCTTTGACATCTGAATATAAAGCGTGTACTCACCAATCTCCCTCAGGAGTACGGCATTATGTTCTGAAGGAGGGCGATCATATACCCCAAAAACGTCCGTCTTCATTGCTCATTATATAGGAACTTGCAGATGGTATGACAGTGAAAAGAACAAGCATACATCCTGGGCCACTAAAATCTGGCTGAAAATGTATAATTCTGTAACCTTTTATCCGTTAAAAACACGGGTGTTGTTTTAAAATTTGAGTATAATCCTTATATGTCCATATTACTTGGGTTTCAAGGTATTCATATTGCAGAAAAGAAAGCAAGCAAACTGTGGAAAGGGATACGAGGAAAACAACGAATTCAGGCTTTAGTTGAGCAGCCAAATGACTTATAATTACATCTCCACTTAATATGGTGCACCCCTGAAACAAGACATTGATAATTAGACGCTAACAATCGTCAATGGCGCAGAAGAAGCATTCTGTTAGGTATTACATACCAGTGACTCATCGAGTACTGCATCCCCGTGCAAAACCTACACGCCAAGTATCCACGTCAGAATTACATTACAATCTCCCTTGAAAAATTTCAAGGTCATATGTGGATTGTTATAGAGATACATTCGGAAATTGCATGAAAGGGTGAGACACTCAAAACTTACTGGAACAAAACCGGAGTCAAGGGCATCAACCACTGTCGATACATCAGCAGATTCTATCTGCAAAAGCACAAGACGTATGGTGCTTTATTATTGTTGTTGTGTAAAAGGAGCAACAAAATTCAAACAAAAGGCGACAAAGGACGGTTTGTGAGCGCATGCTAACATTTCTTTCACGGGTCGACCATCCACATGAAAATGGATTCATTGCAACTGAAGGAATGCCCGCTGCAAAAAAGCATTGAACATAAGATCGAACAAACAGCATGCTTAATTTGGTAACGAGAATTCTACCTCTTGCAAGTGCTCTAACGATTTCAAGATTGAGGGAAGTCACCTAATCAAACGAGAAACAGTAGAGACATAAACTTAAATCAAAGAACACACACAAAATCTCATGTCATAACAAGAACAACATTTAAAAGATAGATTCAGATCAACAATGGAAAGTTAGTGGTAAAGAAGTAGAGCTTACGGAGATACGAGTAGCAACAAAACCAGCCTTCACAAGAGGTTGATTCAATCCCCCTCTATGAACACCAGATTTGCTAGCTTGAAAGTGACCAAAAGAACCTAAAAAGCCGAATTCATAACCAGAGATGTGAGTGAAAGAACAGTGGTTAGAGAATGAATCAAAACTGATGAACAAATAGCAAGATTGTCTACTGACCAGCTCCATGAATAACAACAAAACTGTTGAAGTCTAAAACCTGTTGTTCCTTAAAATCATCAACTTTATTCAGAGTCTCTGAAATACCAGGGCGCTTGCTCCAATCCATTTCAAGTACCGACCCAGATGAAGACATCATTGCTTGCTGCAATTCTAAAGAAACCTTAACAAGATCTTCTTCATTAATCTTTTCAAACTCATTCTTGGATGTGATTGCGGCACCTCCTAATCCACACACAACCACTAATCAGTAATAAATTGATAACACAAAATCACAATCTGAAGGGGGAATGCAGAGTTGACAAGTTTATGAATTGGTGAATGATGAGTTTATTCCTTCAAAATCGGAAAACCCTCCTTACCAAGAAAAAAACCTACCAATTAGTTCCATTGCAAGTCTCAAAAGATGAATCGATCGCAACAGAGTTGGTTAACTAAATAACTGAAAAGTACGGAAAATTTGAAGATTCTGGGGTAAACGAAAGGATGTCTGACCGAGTTTGACGATACAACGAAGTGGGGTTTTCAATTTGAGATGCGTTTGCTTGGCCTCCATTAACCTTCTCTATGGTGTGTTTCGTCAATTGCTGTTTGCTGCTTGTTTGTTATGAAGAATAGAACATGGGTATTCGGTCAGGAAAGGAAAAAGAATAGAATATTGGTACTTGGTGGATCGGTTTTGGGAAGATTCGTACCCCCTTGTTTTTCACTTAATTCCAAGCGCATCATCCGGTGACCGACTCACGGACCTACAGTAAAGCATACGGTGACACGTGCCATCGTATTACATGTAACCGTATTAATTTATTGTGTGTCACTGTATGAATTTCGAAACTATAATGAGAACAAATTTTATTTGGTACAGTTGGTTTGCAAGCCTTTTATTTCACCCCAAACTCAAGTTCGAATCATGTTAGTATCATTTTCTTAGTCAAATGATGCTATTATTTGAAAAAAAAAATTATGTACACTTGTTTCTTATAGTCAAATGGTGTCATCGTTTGAAATTTTTTCCTATATTTTTTTTCTTATAGTCAAACGGTGCCATTATTTGAAAAAAAATTCTAGGTCCGTCCCTGCCATCACCAAAATGAAATTTTTTTTATTAAATGATGACGAGAGATGACCATTTGTTAAATGCTCATAAAGCAAACATGGTATTTAATATTTTCTTATTAAATGATGACGAAGCTATTCAGCTCCTCCATAAACATGCACCTTGGCAAAATAGACCCATAAAAGATTATGAGATTGCTTTCAAAAAATATGGTTTCTTACCTTGGTGGGCTCCCGATAGCACTTAAGAGTTTTGGGTTCTTTTCTATGTGACAAAGAGATAAGTGAGTGGACAGTGCATTGGTCAGATTAAAAGATAACCTTGGAGTGTGATAATGTGGAAAGGCTAACGATTTGATTAGCTATGATGGACAAGTTGTCTTTTCCGGTGCTTGCTTATGAGGTATGGCAAGTAGGGCTCACAAAATGTGGACCACAGGGCCATGAGGTCCCCGCCAATAAACCTTTTTTTTTTATTAACTATGATGGACTTAACCCATGTGGAAAGAATTGTTCCTAGATATCACATGTATTTTTAGGGGAAAAGAGAGATGAAACAATGGCGATAGACTTGATGCTTGTGGTTTTCACCCGATCATAGGAGTAAAGGCTCTCATAACCGTGTCAAAAGAAGAAAGGTCTGATATGCATGATCTGAACAAGAAATGGGACACTACATCATTAGAGGAGAATTTTGTTCCCAAGAGAATGAAATTATAAAGCAGTGATCACGTTTCATTCTTTAATCTATGATATCTGTTGAAGTCGGTACATATATTAGAGTCAGAGACAAAAATAACTTGATAAGACTTTTAAAAATGATCCCATGATGTTGGTAGGAAACTAGGAACGGTCATCTTGTCCAAAACTCCTCTATCTCTTGACGCATTGACCTGAAATGAAATGATGGAAAGTATATAAGTTAAGTGGTAGATGCAAGATTTTAACGAGGATTATTTCATGAAAAGTTTAACTTGATCAAATTTGTTGTGACTAAAGCATGTAATCATTGATTTATGTGTGATAGTAAGCATTTGTTTACTGTGATTTTAATTTTAAACTGATTGTATATGTCATAAATATGAGTTCTTGTCCAAATATTTTGCAATAAGTGGAAGAGAACAAGGGTGTTGGTCCTAATCCCATCCATGGCTTGTTTTTAGAGGTGTTTGGGATTGCTTATTTAAAACAACTTATGTTTTTTTTTTTTTTTTTTTTTGTAAAAGTGCTTATTAACTTATGTGGTATCAAATCGAAGTTTTGTAAAAAGTGTTTGGATTAGTTTATATCGGTACCAAAAAACAATAAGCCGATAAGTTGTTTTTTAGTGTTTGACAAATTTTGCTTATATATGTAAAATGACCAAAAAGGACAGACTTCCATGTTATTGACTTACGAGAGTGTTTGAGATTGGGTATTAACTTATTTTGATTTTTTAACATGTAAAAATTTATTTTTCATCATTTATAATAATATTTTTGATAAAAATTTATATCAATAAGATTAATAATTAACAAACATTAATAAAACAAGGTTAAAATGATAAACTGGTAGTAAACAGTTTTTTTTAAGTCAAAATAAATTAACTTATCAAAAACTACCTATTACCAATTTGGCACCAATATAAACAGTTTTATTTAACTGAAATAAGTAAAAAACACCTAAAATAACACATCCCAAACACCCGCTAAATTTGTACTCTACAAGCCTTCAACTCAAACCCGAATCGTTTTTTCTTCGGGTATTTCTCAAACCCTAAATCCTAATCGCTTTCTTGGCGTTTTGCTATGAATTGGTGATGAATTCTTCGTTGCTACAAACCCTAATTTGTTGACAAATTGTTAATTGCTAACGCCTACAAATTGCTTATTGCTACAACCTGTTGATAAGTTGGTTATTGTTACAACCCTTAATTTATTGATGAATTGCTTATTGCTACAATGTAAATTGCTACGATTGCTGTCTTTTCATCTGATTTGTGTCACTTATGTGGACAATGTGGTTGTTCTTGATAAAACAAAGGACAATGAGTCATGGGTTGTAGGAAGGAGGTTGTGCCTGATAAAATGGAATCATACATAAGCCTGTAAATTGGGTCTCTACTGTTTCGGATTGGTTCTCAGGTTCCCTCTCTTGGTCACTTGTTCTTTTAGCTTAAGATAAACCAATTCATCTAATGTTAATTGTTCTATATGCTCAGGCCAATTTAATAAGTAGGAAAATATATAAAATAATAGTATAATGTGCTATCCGGTTGAACCGATATAGTAAAAAAGTAACCGAAAACTGAACCAAATGAGGTATCCTTATTCGATTAACCGAACTGTTATCCTGAAAACCTGAATAACTCGAAACCATTTTGGTTTAGGTGGGTTATTTGGTTCCGGAATTTTTTGACACTCCTAGTTGTGCCCCTGGTCACTTAAGTTTTTGGATCCGCCACTTGGGATGAACTTTCACTCACATCATGGAACAAAGCCAGTAAAAGAGGCCTTCTCATAACCATGGGGCAAAGAAAAAGGAAAGTTGTTGTCAATCAAACATGCAATTGGAAAAATTAATTGCAATGAAAGAAACACATTATCAGCAAAAAATCAGAACATAATTTACAAAGTCTGAATAAGTAGCAAGATTCTTTACTGATCAACTCCATGAATAACAATGAAACAGTTGTATCTAAAACCCGTTGTTTCTTAGAATCATCAACTTTGTTTAGAGTGTCTAAAATACCAGGCCGCTTGCTGCAATCTGTTTCAAGCAATGACCAAGAAGAAGATCCTGACATCATTGCCTGCTGCAACTGTAAAGAAACTGTAACCAGATTTCTTTCATTCATCTTTTTTAAGTCATTCTTGTTAGTGATTGCTGCACCTCCTAATTCATGCATGACCGTCAATCAAAGGAATGTAGACAACTTGATAATACAAATCACGATTTAGGGGAATGCAGAGGAGTCGGGGAAAACAAACTAGAGTTGAGAAATCTAGTTTTTCTTTACATCTTTGATGTTAAAGGCAGCCAAGAGGGGAGTTATCTTGTTGATTCCAACAGCCGTAGGTAAGAATTCATCCTTTGATTGGGTTTGTTTTAACTTTCTTTCGTTTTTTAAACAACAATAGGAACAGCTATGAGGTTTCTCTATTGATGTTGGGCAGCAGTGAAGGACGGGTTAGAGGTTAATTATTTGTTTGTTCTTCTTGTCACTTTACAACCGTAACAGAGATATGGGGGGAGAGCCACATACGCATTTGGGAGGGAGGTTTATCTACTTAATTGACCACTTTGGATATACTTATCAAGAGAAATGCATCTAAAACCAAAGGGCCTTTGGCCAAACTGTATCCGGTAACCCAATCTTTCTAAAGATCAAGGGTTTCAACCTCACCAAAGGTAAGGCATGTGTGTGAGTTTCATTTACCGTATATAACTTCAAAAAAAGAAATGCATCTAAATACTAAAGGAACGGATGGATGAGGCCGAATTGACACGTACATATACACACACCTCTTGCTTGGTGAAGGAGCTATTGTATGAGTTCTATTTGTGTCTGGTTGTCTTTTTCTCTGTTTTTTATTTTCCCTCACCGGAAAATGAAGTGCAGATCATCATGCCATCGTAAAAGGAAGTGTCAAAACTAACTTCTGAGTCACAAGATGCAAATGGGTAAGTATGTTTCTTGTAAATACTTTGCGACTGTGTTTTTGGTTTGTTAGTTACCCATCTTTTCCTGTATAACAGTTGCTTGAGAAACTGTGAACTTGATGACATAGTACTTTTTATTGTTGATTTCTGTGTATTTCAAGTTATAAACTTAAATGTTATATGTGTTTTGTGTATAATTTCTTATGCATGCATTTATGTATTTTATAGATCTTTAAGGTCCCATAGGATTAGTCTTGTGCTCACACGGAAATGCATTTGTCAACTCTCGATAAAGGGTGATATGGTATTTTAAGAGTTTAGTATTACCAATTGCAAATTGAAAAAACTAAAGCATTGATTGATACAAACACTTGCAATAAAATGGTAATTCATACGTTTAATATGAAAAAGTCAACCAACCTATATGAAGGAATATTAAAATGTGAAGCTGTAAACACCTCATCTCATCTCACATCTCATCCATATCCATATAATATTTACTTCATTCCATTAATCTTCTCAAACCACATTGATCTCTCTTTTTCAACCTTTTTGTAGTACCGATTCTAAACAAATCAACCCCTTCAATGGCATCTTCATCATCTTCTTCTCAATTGTGGAAACATGATGTTTTTCTTAGTTTTAGAGGAAAAGACACTCGCAACACCTTTGTGGATCATCTTTATTCAGCTCTTGTACAACAAGGAATCTACCCTTACAAGGATGACGAAGCACTTCCCCGGGGCGAAACCATCAGTCCATCGCTTTTGAAGGCTATTGAAGAATCACGGATTGCTGTCATAGTATTCTCCAAAAACTATGCCAATTCTTCTTGGTGCTTGGAAGAACTTGCACATATTATGAAATGCAAGAATGAGAGAGGCCAAATTGTTATTCCAATATTCTATCACATTGATCCCTCTGAACTCCGAAATCAGAAAAGGAAATATGGAGAAGCACTTGCCAAACATGAGTCAAAGAAGAAAATCGTTGAATCTTGGAGAAAAGCACTTGCAGATGCAGGGAACCTATCTGGAGATGTTGTCAATGGGTAATCTTATTCTTCTTTCTAAAAAAAAATTATGCTTATAGTGTTTGCACTCTACAACACAATTATATTTGTACCATATAAGCTTCCAAAGCATAAAACCAAAACTTTTTTATGTTTATAGAGAACAACAAGAAGCTATGCATACAATTGTACTTGTAGTACACAGAAATCCAGCAAAAAGACATTATATTTTGGGAGGAATCAGCTGTTTGAAAATATAAGTGATAGTATAGAGCGATGTAGAAGGAAAATGCATGATAAAAATTAGGTTCTCATACAAATGTTCTATTCGATTAATGAAATCTAAAAGGTACTCACGACTCCTTTTCCTTGTCAAATGGAACATATTACCTTGATTTTTTGTGGATTAGAGCATCTGCTAATTATCCTTGTATATCCAATGTCCAGGCCCGAGACAATATTCATCAAAGGAATTGTTGACACAATTTCAGAAAGATTGTGTGTGGCAATTTCAAGTGACAGTGAAGACCTGATTGGTATAGAGGCTCGCCTGCAAGATTTGAAATCAAAGTTAGCAATGGATTCACGTGATGTACTCCTGGTTGGGATATGGGGACTTGGGGGTGGTGGCAAGACTACTCTTGCATCTGCTCTTTATGATGAAATCTCTAGCAAGTTTGATGGTTCCTGCTTTGTGAAAGATATTCGGGAAGAATCAAGAAAGCATGGTTTGCCAAAATTGCAAAAAGAAATTCTCTCACTTGTTTTGAAACAAAAAAGAGAGGAAGTAGTTGGAGATGTAGGAAGCTTGATAAAGAGTAGGTTTCGTCGTAAAAAGGTCTTGATGGTTCTCGATGATGTCGATCACGCTGGCCAGCTAAAGGAATTAGCTGGATCAAATGCTTGGTTTGGTAAAGGAAGCCGAATAATAATCACAACAAGAGATAACCATTTATTAAATGCTCACAAAGTAAATGTGATATACAATATTAGCTTGTTAAATGATGACGAGGCTATTAAGCTCTTTTACAAGCATGCACCTCCAGATCATAGACCCATAGAAGATTATGAGATGCTTTCAAAAGATGTGGTCTCTTATGCTAGTGGGCTTCCATTAGCACTTAAAGTTCTAGGTTCTTTTCTATGTGATAAAGACATGAGTGAATGGATGAGTGCCTTGGCCAGACTAAAAGAGATCCCAGATGGTGATATTGTAGAAAAGCTAAAAATTAGCTATGATGGACTTAAACCCATGGAGAAAGAGTTGTTCCTAGATATTGCATGTTTTTTTAGGGGAAAAAAGAAAGATAAGGCAATGGTGATACTTGATGCTTGTGGTTTTCACCCTATCATAGGGGTAAAGGTGTTGATACAAAAGGCCCTCATAACTGTGTCACAAGCAAGAAGGTTTGATATGCATGATCTGATACAAGAAATGGGATACTACATCGTTCAAGAAGAAAATCCTAAAAATCCTGAAAAACACAGCAGGGTTTGGCAGACGGAAGATGTTCTAAAAATATGTGCTGTGGATGCAATGGTGGTAATGTTGGAGCTAGCATTGTATATAATGTTATATCGACAAAGAGGCAAAGGATCGTGTGAGAGGGAAGTTATGGTGAGAAGCTTAAGAAGAGATCTGAAACCTTGATCACTTTTAATCTCATCCCCACCCATGAATGGGCCCTTTAGAAGGGAATTGATCCGGTGCATGTTGGTGCACCTCATTAGTGTTGACATTCAATTAGGATTGATCCAAGGGTGGAGATCTTTTCTTACGCTTCTCACCATAACTTCCTTTCTCGCCGGAACCTAACCCTTGATAAAGATATGTGGTCTAACTAAACACTATAATCATTTTGTTTCTTTATCATAGGAAAATGACAGGATTCAAGCATTACAAGTTGTGTTTCAGTGGGACCAAGACATTCCTCCTAGTTTTCCTCAGGTTGTCGGTAACATGAAGAAACTTCGGTGGATTTCTTGCTACGGCTATTCAGCAACTTCATTGCCAAGAGAATTTCAACCAATGGAGCTTTGTTGTCTAAAGTTGGAATGGAGCTTGGTAGAGCAACTTTGGGACGGCTATAAGGTAAATTCTTATTGTTTCTCTAATATAGGGATGAAAGTGAAGTGCATTATAAATTATAAATTTGAGTAATTAACGGAGAAATTTCTAAGTAGTTTATATGAAGGGGAGTACAATGTTGATGTGATTGAACATCGGTGTCAATAGACGACTTTATATAACTGAAAGCATGAACTTTTTAACTTATCTATGCGGTTTGTTTGTGTTCTTTTTCTTTTTAAATCTAATTTTGTTCTAATTTTCATAGACAACTAAATGTTACACATAATAAATGTTATTTAAGAATTGACAAGGATTGAAATAAAATGATGGAAAGTATACCATAGCTAGGGATTAAGGAGTAGATCCAAGATTTTAACGAATATTTATCTGAATAGTAATATAATGATAGATTTTTTATTTAATAACCGTGGGTTACGCACATCTCAACTAATCTACTGGTGGTCCTGACTCTTGAGGTTAAAGTCAGGGAAACCCAAGAACTAACCGGCTGAGCTACCCCTAACGGTCATAAAATAGTATGTTTGTAACAGCACGATTATATTATTTCGTTTGAATAATCTGATTGCAACAATATTGCATTTTTTTTATATGAAAGTAGTGGTGATGATACATAGATATGAAAAGCAGGGAAGGTAACAACTATGAAACCAAATATATAATCAACAAAATATTTCTCGTTTATACATGTAGATTATTGACTCTAAATTACATGCTCCTTTAGAAGATAAGTAGAAATTTCTAATCAACCATGGGAAAAGTTTAATTTGATCAAATTTGTTATGATTAATTAAAGCATGTAATCTTTGATATAAGTGATTTTAAGCATTAATTTGTTTGTAGTAAAAAGTGATTTTACTGTGATCTTTATATTAAACTGATTGTATATGTTATAAATATGCGTTCTTGTCCAAAAGTTCTGCAAAATGTGGAAGAGAACAAGGGCATTGGCCCTAATTCGATCCATGGCTCATTTTAATTTTTGGAAAATATGATTGATTTGTGTTAGTTATCATACACTCTATGATATTAAAGAATGCATTGATATAACTGATTTGTGTGTTACTGTATACAACAGCATCTACCGAATTTGAAAGTGCTCGATCTCACTAAATCAAGAAACCTAGTTAGCACACCAGATTTTGACGGACTTCCATGTCTTGAAAGATTGATGCTCAGAAGCTGTACCAGTTTAAAAGAGATGCATCCATCAATTGGATGTCATGAAAGGCTTATTTTCCTGGACATGGAATACTGTGAAAGCCTTGAAATATTTCCACCCATTATCCGGGTGAAAAGGTTGGAGACTCTTATACTCTCTTGTTGCTATAAACTTTGCAAGTTCCCAGAGATTGAAACAAGCATGGACAACTTGGTAGAGCTTAGTTTGAGAGGAAGTCAGATAGAAATTCTACCCTCATCAATTGGAGAATATTGTACCAACCTTCTTTCTCTTGATTTGAGAGAGTGTCGATATCTATGGAGTATTGAAGGCAACTTCCACCCCTTAAAACATTTGAAAGGGCTTTATCTTAGAGGTTGTGAAGAACTTAAGAACATACCAGAGGAAGGCCTCTTTGATAAAGAATGTTGTTTACAGGTGCTTTCATCTTTCAAGAATCTTCACCTAGGAATGGTAAGCATGAAGCTTTTTGGCATTTCAAGTTCCTTAAGAATGTTGGATCTTAGAGATTGCAATCTGGTAGATGGAGACGTCTCCTCTGTTTTTTGCAATGAGTTATCCAACCTACAAGCATTAGACCTAGGTGGGAACTATTTTTCACAATTGCATTCCAGCCTCTTGCAACTTCCTTGTCTCAAATTCCTCGACCTATCAGATTGCTTAAACCTTGTAGAATTACCGGATCTCCCATCAAGCATAGCTATTCTCATAGCAAGTAACTGCAACTCGCTTAATATTGTAGGAGATTTTCCAACAAACAACCTTAAATGGTTGTGGAAAGTCTCACTTCCAACGCATAGTATGTCGGGTGATGGTGAGAGAGTAGTACAATCCATGCTTCAGGTATGGATTTATATATCTCGTTGAATTTCAATATTAATGTGTATATATAGATAGACCCAAATCAAATCAAACCAAACAAAATAATAATAGTGTTTCTCATGACAGGGAAATGCCATTGAAGATTACTTTTTGAGCATCAAGTTCGATGATGCTTACATTCCAATACAAGGTTGTGAATGGGGAACATTTACGTTACAACTTCCGTGGAACTGGTACAGTGAATATAGTGGATTCTTAGTATACGTTGAATACTGGATTCCGTACATGCATGAAGTAATTACTATAGATGATGTAGTGGGTAGGGAAAATGAAGGTGATGTTTTGGAAGTGTCTAATGAAGACGAGGAAAGTGAGAAAACGAGTGGCATGTGTTATATATCGTTTGTTTCATTGAGGGACACCTCATGGTGGAATTCATGTCACAATGCCATTTCTTTTTCCATAAACTACGATACCTTATTAAAAGTCGAGCTTGTTCCTAAGAGAAGTCAAGACGATGATGATTCAGTAAAAAAGGCAAAAGATACAACATACCTCTCAAAATTTTGGGATAAGGAAGAAGACAAGACATTTGAGATCATAAGTGATTCAAGCTCCTCTATCAGCATTTCATGGCTTCATAATCATTATGTGGACATGTTCCACCATGTATGATCTTTTCACCTTTTATTGCATAAATCACTGTCTTCTTTTTTATGACACTAAAACGAACGGTGTAATTCACTCTTTAAGACATATAATTATGATTTGAGCTATTGATGTTGTTATGTGTGAGTTTATATAAAGATAAAGCCTTATGCTGCTACTGCTCAAACATCTTGCTGATACTCCAAAGCTTTCACCAGTTGTTCTATGACCTGGATCATTCTTGGGCGTTCTTCTCCATGTTCCTTTAAGCATTTATAAGCGATGGCTGAAAACGTACTCAAGGAACCCGACTTCATTTGCTTTCTGAGATCCGCATCAATGATCTTCTCTAACGTTTTCTCTTCATAATGGCTTTTGGCCATTTTGACTGAGAAATGATTCTTATCAGGATGCTCAGCAACCGTCACTGCCCTTCCAAACAACACTTCCAACAGTACAACCCCAAAAGAATAAACATCAGATTTTTGTGTCAGTGTGCTATGTCCTATGTATTGCGGATCGATGTATCCTTGGGTGCCACAAGGATTGGAGACAAGAGCCGAAAGCGGCACGTTTGAAAGAGCGATCTTAGACAACCCGAAATCTGAAATTTTGGGCTTCCAATTCTCATCCAGTAGAATGTTTGCGCTCTTCACATCACGATGGAGAACTCTGCATTGAGGTCCAACATCATCATGAAGGTACTTCAACCCAAAGGCTGCGCCTAAGCAAATCCGAAGACGATGCATCCAGGTCAGATCTTTGCTACGTAAAAGTCTGTCAAGACTCCCATTTTGTTCGTACCGGTAAACAAGGATCTTCTCACCACCTTCATCACAGAATCCGACAAGAGTGACGATGTTTTCATGCTTACACATAGAAAGCAATGCAATCTCCATCATGAATTCACGATCTCCTTGCCCGTACGTACGATCCAATTTCTTTATGGCAACGATGCCAAGTCGTATAGATTGGCCTTTGTACACCTTCCCAAATCCAGTCCTTGCGATGATGTTTGCTTCAGCAAATTCGTTAGTTGCCAAGAGTATGTCTTCGAGAGGAATCTTCAAGTGATCGGTTCCCATTTTAACCCGGTCTTTATTAGAAAACAGTTCATACGAAATTTTATCAACAATTTCTTCTACGAGTTTTGCTTCATGTACTCTGCACATTGAAGTAGAAGGATGATCAACATATGTTCACATTTAAACAAGACAAATTATGGTGAAGGGTCGTAGATGTATCTTGGCTATATTTCACGTTGAAATAGCACATCATAGCCAAGGTTTGGGTTCTAAGGTAATTACCCGTTATTGGCGATGAATCCAGACAGGTTGCGTACATCTGCAAGTGCTTCTCTCCAGTATTCAACGTCTTTGTTCTCCGACTCATGTTTAGCAAGGCCTTGTACATATCTCCTGTTTTGATCTATGACTTGAGAGGGATCAATGTGATAGAATATGGGGATAACGAGTTGGCCTCTCTCATTCTTGCATTTCACAATATATGCAAGTTCATTCAAGCACCAAGGATCATCGGCATAATGTTCAGAAAATACGACGACAACAATCTGTGATTCTTTAATAGCTTTTGAAAGCGATGGTGTGATGGGTTTACCTAATCTTGGAAGTGGTACTTCATCCTGGTAAGTGTAGATCGTTTGTCGTGCAAGAGCCGAATAGAGATGATCTACAAAGGTTTTGCGAGTGTCTTCTCCCTTAAAACTCAAAAAAACATCATGATTCCGCGATTGAGAAGAAGAAGATGATGAAGATGGCAAGTGTTTGTCTTGTAGAGGAATCTTGAAGTGATCAGTTCCCATTTCAACCCGGTCTTTGTTATAAAACAACTGAAATGAAATTGCATCAACAATTAATTGTATCTGTTTGGCTTCGTATCTGCACATTAGATATAGAACCACAATCAATCAACATATTATGCATAAAAATTTAAAAACCAAAGAATAAAATTACCCATTGGCCATGTGCTTGGTTTCCCATCCAGAGAGGCTGCCTACATACATAAATGCTTTTCTCCAATACTCAACGTGTTTGTTCCAAGACGCACGTGCTTCTCCATGATCCTTATATTGTGTTCGGACTTGAGAGGGATCGACTTGATAGAAAATGGGCATAACGATTTGGCCTTTCTCATGCTCGCATTTCAAAATATGTGAAAGTTCATTCAAACAAAAGGAAGACTGGGCATAGTTTTTGGACAATACGATGACAGCAATCTTTGATTTTTCAATAGCCTTGAAAATGGATGGAGCAATGGCTTTACTGTGGAGAAGTGTTTGGTCAAACAAGAAGGTACGGATTCCTTGTTGTACAAGAGCCGAGTAGAGATGATCCACAAAGGTCTTGCGAGTGTCTTCTCTAAAACTGAGAAAAACATCATATTTCCACGATTGAGAAAAAGAAGACAAGGATGAAGATGCCATTGAAGGGTTGGCTTGTTTAGAGAAAGGGGTATATGTGGTTTGAGTAGTATATCAACTGAACTGAACTGAAATAAATAAGTCTGTTTGGGTGTGTCTTTCGATTTCAATAATTATATGAATAACCGCGTGAATTTTATGAGAACAAAACAAAACAAAACGTCGCTATCTATTTCAGATAGATGTTCAGAGGTGGCACCGCGTGAAAACACAGAGGGGATTTCTTAGTAAGAGGTATAGAAAATTATATTAAATAATGGGAACCAAAAGTCTTCCATGGTCGTCGTCTTCTTCTTCTTCGTCTCCTTCCCCCTTCCCACTTCCATCACTGTAATTACACAACCATAACTGTGTAAGCCAACTCCTCATTTTTGGTGAAAACCCTCCCATTTCTCTCATTTTACTCCCTTATTTCTTCTCTTTCTGTTGAGAAACATGGATTCAACGGCTTGACAGTGATGGAGATGCCGGTCATGGTTGGTTTCTTCAAGATCTGCTCCTAGATCTAGATTTTTCAATTTATATCTATTTCAAGTGGGAATCGATTGATTAAAGATCCGTTTGTTCTTCTCCTCACAAATTTTTAGAGATCTGTTTGTATTACACAAATTTAGGAATCAATTTTGGTTTTTTATTGTTGTTTGGGTTAAAGAAAATAAGAAAATGATCAAATTACGTATAGAACTTTTACAGTAACAACGGGTATATATATTCTTAAATAAATATCATTATATATATATTCATTAGATAATGTTTTATGTATTTATACGAGAGATCAAGAGTTACCACGGTTATAACCATTAATGGATAAAATTGAAAAACAATTATAACTGAATTAGAGTTCAAAGATTGAAGTCCGACTCCATTTGAGACTAACTGATTGCAAAGACATTAGGTTTGACTATATAAGGACTTGGTCAATTTACTCAAGCCATGATTCTAAGCAAAAGTTTAAACTTCTGACTCCATTGGTCTTTAGTTATGACTTAGTTAGATTCATGCAGAACACGAAGGTTCAAATTTTTGACTCTATAGGTCCAAAGTTGGGACTTTTCATAAGTCTGGATGCAAATGCATGCCTTAAGTCTGAGGACGTTGAATAACATTAATATCTGAAGGAGAATCGTGCGAGAATCTAATTTTACAAAAAGACGAGAAGAAATATGAGGCACACATCTTATTCAATAAGTGAATAAAACAAAACATTATTATAAAAAAAAGGTATGATTGTCATTTTGTGTATTAGCATAATCCCTAATAAATTGGGATTGAGTTTGTTTTCCAAACTGAGTTCTAACGATCACTAATAAATCGGATAAAACATGTAATAATTTAATTGTAGGTTTTTATAACATACGATAATTTGTTCGATAATCATATATATATCATAATTGTAGATATTTTTATTAATCATATGTGATTATGTAGATTTACATTTATAGATCTTATGGTGATGCAAATATTGTCATATGTGATAATGCATAACTTATACTCCACGCATATGATCAAATTTGATATGTACAAAAATTCACATAGTTGATCATATGTTAAATATAACTAATCACATATGATTTAGAACACGGATCCCAAAAATAAGAAAAAAATGGTGAGAAGTTGCAAGATGGGAGGAGTTGTAGGTGATAGGTGAGGGGAGGAGAGAACATCGAGGCAACGTCCCGAGGTTTTTGAAATTTATGAAAAATCTAACTTAGTAAAAAATTTACTGAGTATAAGGTTGGATAGTGAAATTTTTACCAAGTTAGATTCTAAGCATATAAGGCTATTATATAATCTAATGAAATAATATTCTTTTTATTTAATTTTTAATTTGAAAATTAAAAATAATAATAAAAAGACGAAAATGCTACTGAATTAACGGACATTTTTAATGAAATTTAGTTAAAGGAACCAAAAGTTTGGTAAAGTGACAATCATAAAGGAATTGAAATTGTCATTCTAATTCCATCAAATTTCTCCGAATTCCGTGAATCAAACGGCCCCTAAGAATCCTAAAAAAAGGGAAGATGTTATAAACATATGTGCTACGAATGAGACCACGGTAATGTTGGAGCCGACTTTGTATGTATGCTATATATGCATTAGATGATATACGCATATTGATAAAGCTATACTCTAACATAACATGACACCATTTTGTTCATTTATCATCACAGGAAAATAAGAGGGTTATATATTGTTTCTCTAATTAATTAAGGGATGAACGGAAAGTGGATGATGATAATTAATTACAAATCTAACTAATTTACAGAGTAATTAATCAACGGGAGTACAACAAGGATTTGATTGAACATCAGTGTCATTAGGCTGAAAACATGAAGCTTTTCACTTATTTATGCTCTTTGTGTTCCTTTTATTTTATAAATCTGATTTTGTTTTAGTTTTCATAGACAACTAAATGTTATACATAGTAAATGTTTATAGAAACCGAAAAGTATTGAATTCTTAGGAATTAATGTGATGTTTGAATTATAAAATGGCGATCTCATTTCATGCATTATCTATAATATCTTTTGATGACCTGCGATTCTTTTGAAGTCGGTAACATACTTGAAACCCCTAGTGGTCAGTAGGAGCACATTCAAGAACTAACCAATTGAGCTACTCCTAACGGTCATAGAATAATATGTTTGTAATAACCCAATTAATACATTACTTCATAAATATAATATGCTTCTAATCAATACTTGTAATCTGATAATGAAATTTTTATGTAAAAGTAGTGGTGATGATATATAAGCGGAAAATCCGACAGCGGAGACAACGTTTTCATGTTTATAAGCGGAAAGCAATGCAATCTCCATTATGAATTCATGTTGGCCTTGTCCGCTGCCACGATATAACCGTTTGACCTTGACGGCCGTATTGTTTAGATTGGCCTTGGTAAACCTTTCCAAATCCACCCACGGCAATGAAAGTTCCTTTCGTCAAAATTGTTAGTTGCTGATAATATGTGTGGAAGAGGAATCTGCAAGTGTTGCACTTCCCTAATAAAAGACGTGATATTTTGATTCAAGATGTAATTTTTTGGAAACAAGAAAAAAGGATTGCAACAGCAAGAAGTTTATGCTGATTGTGTTAGATCTGAAAATACATATGGAACTTTTTTATTATTATTAAATTATAATAAGAATTTTGAATTAAAGAAATTATACAAAAAATGAGAATTTTTATATGGGAAAAGTCTAAAAAAACCCAATGGACTTTAGTGTTTGGAATGATTAAGTCATTGGACAATTTTTTGGAACAAATAAATCCTTGGACATTTTAAAACATGTTAAATAACTTCTTGGACTTTCTAGAACCTGTTAGATACATCATTATAACTTATACAACTGGTTAATGTAGTAAAATAATGAAAAAAAATCCGAAAAAAACCAACAAACACTCGTATTTTGAACGATTAAGTCTTACACATTTTTAAAATATTTAGATATATAAAATTAAACAAATATAACAAAACAGTACTTACATTTACAAAAAAATAATTGCATTTAAAAAAGATTTTTGATAAAATTTATTTTATATTTTAATTAAAATAAAAATATATCATATCAGTGATTTTTTAAAGTAAAAAAAAAAAATTACTGATTATATTTATTTTAATTAAAAATAAAATATATCACGTATATGATTTTTTAAATTAAATTTTTTTTAAAAAGATTACAGTTAAAATTTATTTTAATTAAAAATAGAATATGTTTTTATTTTTATTTTAAATAAAAATAAAAACATATTTTATTTTTAATTAAAATAAATTTCATTAGTAATAATTTTTAAACTTTTTTTATTTTTTTAGTTTGAAAAGTTATATACGAAATATATTTTATTTTTAATTAAAAATAAATATAATCAATAATATTTTTTAAATTTAAAAAATTATTGATATAATATCTTTTATTTTTAATTAAAATAAATTTCATTAATAATTTTTTTAGATGTAAGTATTTTTTTGGTTCAAAAAATATTTAGGGTCTTTATTATTCAAAATATGATTGTTTATTGGCTTTTTATTTGATGTTTTTCCATTATTTTACCATGTTAATTAGTTTTATAGTTCATAAGAATGTATATAACAAATTTTAGAAAGTCTAAAGAGTTATTTAACAAGTTTTAGAATGTTTAAGGGTTTATTTATTCCAAAAAATTGTCTAAAGACTTAATCATTTCAAACACTAAAGTTTGAGTTTTTTTAGATTTTTTCTTTTTTATATATATTTTTTAATTTTTACGATATCTATAAATTTATATTTTATTAAAAAATATTATTGTTTGTTAAAAACATATAAATATGTACTATAACATGAACAAAGACAAAAAAAAAAATAACAAAAATCAAGATATATCTATGCTATATTAAGATAATACTCTCTGTGTCTTCAGAAATTGCAATGAAGTAAGCCACCGGGATAGTGAAGCGATTCTTCGGCTGATTTCGACCTAGGGCTCATATTTTTCTCTCACAAATTAGAGGTAAGCCATGGTTAGTTTCTGGAATTAATGTTCTCTAGTTGCTATTTTACTGTAAGCCACGAAGAACAACTACCCTTACAGTGAAAACATAAAGAAACTTCGGTCGATTTCTTGCGTTAAATATCCAGCAACTTCAGTTTCAAAGAGAATTTCAACCAATGAAGCTTTGTTATCTAACATTGAAATGCAGCTGGCTAAAGCAACTTTGGGAGGGTTATTGTTTATCTGATTAAGGGATGGAAACAAAGTGGATGATAAGTTATAAATCTGACTAATTTATAGAAAAAATTTCTATCACCAAGTTCTTATGACATTTAACTGTTTTCAAAAAGCCTTTGTGAAAGACTTGGTAGCATAGGCTTTCTGAAAGCTTTTTAGGCAAAGGATTGGAGTTACCAACCTTAAGAAGGTTGAATCTTAGAGAGTGCAATTTGGTAGATGGATACATATCCTCTGTTTTTTTTTTTTTTTTTTTTTTTTTGCGATGAGTTAACAATCAAATATATTCATCCAAAAATCTCCAAGCAACAAACTTGATCCATGGCTACTTTAAAGTCAAGAAGTCAAAGTTGGTGGAAGTTCCTTTTAAATGTGATGGCCCCCTTTCACATCTTATCCATCTACTTCGTTTCATTCCTCTACTCAAACCACATATTTCTCTTTTTAATCCTTTTTTCTGTACAAATTCTAAACAGATCAACCCTTCAATGGCATCTTCTTCATCTGCTCAGTCGTGGAATCATGATGTTTTTCTTAGTTTTAGAGGAACAGACACTCGCAAGACCTTTGTGGATCATCTCTATTCAGCTCTTGTACAACAAGGAATATACACTTACAAAGATGACGAAACACTTGCTCGAGGTGAAGCCATCGGTCCATCGCTATTGAAGGCCATTGAAGAATCGCGGATTGCTGTCATTGTATTCTCTGAAAACTATGCTGATTCTTCTTGGTGCTTAGATGAACTTGTGTATATTATGAAATGCAAGGACGAGAGAGGCCAAATTGTTATGCCCATATTTTATCACTTGGATCCCTCTGAAGTCCGAAAACAAAAGGTGAAATATGGAGAAGCTCTTGCAAAACATGAGTTGGAGAATAAAAATGTCGTATCTTGGAGAAAAGCACTTACTGATGTAGGCAACCTTTCTGGTTGGGAAACCAAGCACGTCGCCAATGGGTAATTCTATTTTTTCCTTTTTGGAGCATATTACCCCTTTTGTCAATTAGAGCATATGTTAATTATCCTTGTATATCCAAGTACAGGCATGAGGCAAAATGCATCAAAGAAATTGTTGACACAATCTCAGATAGACTGTGTGTGGCAATTTCTAGTGACAATGAAGACCTGATTGGAATAGAGGCTCGCCTGCAAGATTTGAAATCAAAGTTAGACATGGAATCAGATGGTGTAGTGATGGTTGGAATATGGGGGCTTGGGGGTGGTGGTAAGACTACTCTTGCATCCGCTCTTTATGATGAAATCTCTGGCAAGTTTGATGGTTCCTGCTTTGTAAAAGATGTTAGGGAAGAAACAAGAAAGCATGGTTTGCCAAAATTGCAAAAAGAAATTCTCTCACTTGTTTTGAAACTAGAAATAGAGAAAGCAGTTGGAGATGTAGGAAGCTTAGTCAAGAGTAGGTTTCGCCGTAAAAAGGTGTTGATTGTTCTTGATGATGTTGATCACCTTGACCAGCTAAAGGCATTAGCTGGATCACATGATAGGTTTGGCGAAGGCAGCCGAATAATAATCACAACTAGAGATAGTCATTTATTAAATGCTCACAAAGTAAATGTGATATACAATATTAGTTTGTTAAATGACGACGAGGCTTATAATCTCTTTTGCAAGCATGCACTTGGGCATGGTAGACGCATAGAAGATTATGAGATGCTGTCAAAAGATGTGGTTTCTTATGCTGGTGGGCTCCCGTTAGCACTTAAAGTTCTGGGTTCATTTCTCTGTGACAAAGACATAAGTGAATGGATGAGTGCCTTGGCCAGACTAAAAGATGTCCCAGATACTGATATTGTGGAAAAGCTAAAGATTAGTTACGATGGACTTAAACCGATGGAGAAAGAGTTGTTCCTAGATATTGCATGTTTTTTTAGGGGAGAAGATAAAGATAAGGCAATGCTGGTGCTTGATGCTTGTGGTTTTCATCCTATCATTGGGGTAAAGGTGTTGATACAAAAGGCTCTGATAACTGTGGCACCAGGAATCATTTCGTCAATAGAAGTGTTTGAAATGCACGATCTGTTACAAGAAATGGGACACTACATCGTTCAAGGAGAAAACCCTAAAAATCCTGAAGAACACAGCAGGGTTTGGCAGAGGGAGGCTGTTCTGAACATATGTCATATGGATGCAACAATGGTAGTGTTCAAACTAGATTGGGATATATGTTAAATATGCATTGTATCATATATACATGTATACAGATAAATATATACTATATATGAACCTTAACACCATTTCATTTCTTTATCATAGAGAAATAACAGGATTGCTGCATTACAAATAGGATGGCATCAGGACAAGCTTCCTCCTATCCTTCCTGAGCTTGTTGCTAACATGAAGAAACTTCGGTGGATTTCTTGGGATGGATATGCAGCAACTTCATTGCCAAGAGCATTTCAACCAAAGAAGCTTTGTTATCTAAAATTGGAATACAGCTTGGTAGAGCAACTATGGGAGGGTTATAAGGTAATTCTTATTGTTTCCTTAATTAAGGGACGAAAGCAAATTGGATGATAAATCATAGAATCTGACTTATATGAATGGGGGTTAAAAAATATCCTGGCTTCTCATACACTATGATATTAAAAAATATGTTGATATATTTGATTTGTGTGTTATTATATGCAACAGCATCTACCAAACTTGAAAGTGATCGACATCATTGATTCAGATCTAGTTAGGACACCGGATTTTGACGGACTTCCATGTCTTGAAAGGTTCAAACTCAGCATGTGTCCCAGTTTAAAAGAGATTCATCCCTCAATTGGATATCATGAAAGGCTTGTTTTCCTGCACATTGACGAGTGTCCAAGCCTTACAATTTTTCCACCCATCATCAGGATGAAAAATTTGGAGGCTCTATGGCTCTGGGATTGCACTCAACTTCAAAAGTTCCCGGATATCCAAATGAACATGGACAAATTGGTAAAGCTTAATTTAAGAGGAAGTGGGATTGAAAGTCTACCCTCATCAATTGGAAAATATTGCACCAACCTTGTTTCTCTTAATTTGATCGAGTGTAGATGTCTACAGAGTATTGAAAGCAACTTCCGTCTCTTAAAACATTTGAAAGAGCTTCGTCTCAAGGGTTGTGATCAACTTAACAACATGCCAGCGGAGGGCCTCTTTGATGTAGAATGTCGTTTACAGCTGCTTTCTTTATCTGACATACCCTTCAAGATTCTTCACCAAGGTGTGGTAAGCATGAAGCTTCTTGGCTTTCCAAGTTCCTTAAGAAGGTTGGACCTTAGTGACTGCAATTTGGTAGATGGAGACATCTTCTCTATTTTTCATGAGGAATTATCCAACTTACAAGCATTAGACCTAAGTAGAAATGGTTTCTCCCGGTTGCATTCCAGCCTCTCACAACTTCCTCGTCTCAAATTTCTCAACCTAACATGGTGTCGAAACCTTGTAGAATTACCGGATCTCCCATCAAGCATATCTATTATCGTCGCAGAAGGGTGTGACTCACTTGACATTGTAGGAGATTTTCCAACAAACCTTAAATGGTTGTGGAAAGTCTCACTTTCAGTAAGCAATATGTTGGGTGACAATGGTAACAGAATTCTACAATCCATGCTTCAGGTATGGCTCTATCCATTTTCTTGTCGAATTTCAATATTTGTATTTTGACCCAAACAAAATAACATTCATCATGGTTGAATGACAGGGAAATGCCGTTGAAGATTACTTTATCAGTCTCTGTTTTTACCGTAACTGTACTTACAATATTCCAATAAGAGGCTTTGAAAGGGCAACGTTTATGTTAGAGCTTCCATGGAATTGGTACAATGAATGCAGTGGATTCTTAATATACGCTAATTGGCGTTTCCTTGAGGGTAGCGTAATTACTATGAAGGATGTAATGGGTGGGGAAGATGAAGATGATGTTTTGGAGGTATCTTACGAAGAAGATGAGAGAAGTAAGATGGGGTATAGCATTTGCTATATACCCTTGGGTTCATTGAGGAACACCTCATGGTGGAATTCAACACGTACTACCATTTCATTTTCCTTCCATGGTTACGTAAAAGTCGAACTTGTTCCTAGGAGAAGTCAACGTGATGATTTAGTAGAAAGGGCAAAAGATACAACGAATTCCGTAGAATTTTGGGATGAGGAACATAGAGAGAACAAGACATTTAACATCATACATGATTCAAAGTCCTCTATCAAGATTCGATGGTTTCTTGGTGCTTTTACAGACCTGTTCTACACTATCTGATATACATTTTTTACCGTTGTAGCATAATCGCTTTGATTCGTGGATACAAGAAAAAACAAAGAAAGAAAAGATTATATGTATATGATGTGTGTATATACTAGTTGTGTATCCACGAAAGCTGTGAATTTTAACGATTTTGAAGTTTCACTGATTTTATTAGAAAATATTTAACATTACACTTGGTCTTTACATATTAATACAATTTGAATAAATAAGAGTTATGGTTCCAATTACATTTTATCAATGAAAAAAATTGTATGATGGTTTAAAATCCAATATATTTAAAATCCAACATATTTAAACGACTCCACAAATATGTTCGATTTACACCAAGAGCAAAGAATCAAGAGAGCGAGACCGAGAGTTCTAGAACAATTGAATGAGAGATGAATGAAAGAGCTTTTAATAACTCATGGTGAATATTAATTTGAATCTCATCTTGGGGGATGGGGAGAAGACACAGATATATGAGAAGGTGAAGACATGAGTGAAATGTGTCAAAAGTATCTTGGGGAAAGCTTAAAAGTCATCTTGTGTTTTAGATTCATGTAGGAAAAGCTTAAAAGACAAATACTTGTGTGTTTTAAAAACAAATATTTTGTGTTTTAGATTTTGTACTTTTTTAAGACTTTAAGATATTTATCAAATTTGCTTAATAAAATAGTATATATAATATGGATGGTAGATGAGAACCACAAAAAGATTATAAACATCTGAGGATTAATATAAAAATATTTTTTAAATGACTTTTTTTAATCAAAGGTTATGATTTAAGGTACCGTTTCACATATGTTTGTAATCACATTGTTAAAAAAATACATGTGAAACTTTTTTTATGGTTCACATAGTGAAACGGAAAATAAAAGTAAAAAAGTTTCACATTATGACCCTATTACATTATAAAACAATTTCATGTAAAACTACCTTAAAGTTATCATTTGATGGAAAAAAATCATGTAAAAAATATATTTAGATTGATTCTCCTGAGTTATAACTTTTTTATGATTCTCATTTGATTTGCCCCTGTAATACATATCATACATACACAGATGCAACATTTATATATCATTTTCTTTCATTAAACAATGTCGCGTTTAATTTAAGAAAAACGGCATTTGAAAGGTACATTGACCGATTATAATGTTTCATCAATTAAATACTTAATGATCAATTCCGTTAGGTATCGGTAATAAAACAACAATATTTTCGAAAAATCAGACTGGTCCCATAACTGGTCCTGGGTCGGACCGGGTTGGATCTTTTTTTTTTTGACAAAAACTATAAGCAGTCCCATACTGCCGGTTCTGGTCCTCCATCGTAGGGCCGGGCGGAGCCCACTTAGTCCATCCTATTCACAGGTTTTTTCCCTCACATCACAATTATAAAAGGGTTAAATGCATGAAATAGCAACCTACTTTCACAAAATTTCTTATTATAGCATTCTACTTTTGTTTTTCTTTATTACAGCAATGTACTTTCAAATTATTTTTTATTAAGACATTGTACTTTAAAAAATCTACCCATAATAGCAATGGGTAACCTGTTACATTTTAAACCGGTTAACCATTTGACTTTTTTGCTTGTGTGTCTTTAATGAGGTGATGTGGATGACACATCATTTTGATGACTTAACTAAAATTAAAATAAAAACATATTTCAAATTATTATTAGTGATTTTCATTTTTCATTGCTATTATCTAAAAAAAAATTTAATTTTTTTTTTACTTTTTCTTATTAGGTTGCATTTAAATTAAATATTCTTAGAGTAAAATATTTATTAAATAAATATGCAACATTATTTTCGAGATATATTTTATTTGTAAAAAAAACAACTTTTCCTATTTTATGTTGTTCAAATAAATACATATCTTTTAAAGTTCTCTTTAAAATATTAACGAAATAAATTGTTATCTACAATTTTTTAATATTGTTATATTAATAAATACTTCAAAAAAATCTAATTAATTTAATATATTTATATGTCAAGTAAAATTTTTTTAAACAAATATAATATATTCGTCAAGTAAAGATAATATTTTTTGGTAAATAAAGAACAACTCTTATTTTCCTTTTTTCAAAAAACACATATTTTTTTAAAAATATTAGCGAGATAAGTTGTGTTCTACTAGTTTTATTGATATTGGTATATTAATGAATAATTTATAATTTTTTTAATTCATTTAATACATTTATTAAAAAACATGTAAAATATCTAAATGTTAAAATTAAAAATACAGTGTTTAATAAGAAATAGTAGATGCTATAATAAAATAATTTTGAAAGTAAAATGATGTAGTAAGAAAGTCACATCATTATAGTACATGTGGACAACCTACGTGGACAATGAGGTGACATGAAAACCTAGTATAATGGGTAAATTTAAATCAAAAGGTTACCCAATGTTATAATGGGTAAATTTTTCAAAGTACAATGTCCTAATAAAAAATAATTTGAAAGTACATTGCTGTAATAAGAAAAACTGAAAGTAAAATACTATAATAAAGAAATTTATGAAAGTAGATTGCTATTTTATGCATTTTGCCCATTATAAAATAATCGTTTGTTTTTAGTTTTTGACCCATTTACTGAAGGCCCAACTCAGCCATCTGAACCCATTCCAAACATTTAGACTTGGTCACTTGGCTTAGTTGGCTAGTTGGCTTCGGCTAGTTGGGCTAGCCGGCTTCTTCAGTATACCATTCAGACGCCAAATATTTTGAGCCTTTAGTTTTCAGGTTTTACATAGGTTTTTATTCATAATGTAATACTATAGTAAGATAATCAACATCATATAGCAATTTAAAACCTCTTCAACATATTTATATCAATACTATATTATAAAACATTTGACAAAATTTTTTAAAAATAATTCTTTGTACATGAAATACTATTTATTAATACATATTACTTAAAATTTAAGATTACAAGTAAATTGTGTATAAGTACAACTTATCAAAGTTTCATTTTTGAATTCGTATAATAATAACAGATAATTATAATCAAATACAGGATAAACATTTCATTTTAAATATAAAAAATCTAAGATATAATTAGGATAATAATCGAGTTCTAACTAAATACTTAGTTATTATCTTTATAAAAATTATGTTATTAAATCAAAAATAAATTACTTCATCATTAAACCTGTATTAAATTATAATAAAATTTTTGAATTAAGATATTACAAAGAAAATGAGAATTTATATATGTATTTTAAATTTTTATGATATCTTTAAATTTATATTTTATTAAAAAAAACATTATTGTTTGCTCAAAAACACATAAATCTGTACTATAACATGGACAAAAACCAAAAAAATATAACGAAACATTAAAATCGAGATATATATATCGCTGCATTACACGAGTACCCTTCTAGTTCTTCAAAAATTACGATTTCGTAGTTTTTAAATTATGTTTGTGCTCCAATGGTAACACATTCTCCAACAGTTTTTTAATAGACCCCACAAAAGTTCGAACTTTATAAAAGATCAAATATTCAACACCACATAGCTTGAATCTGCCCAACAAACAGGGGCGGACTTGTACAATAACATACGGTGGTGCATGCTACCCCTTCGTTGTCCTCACATAGTGAAAAAAAAATTTAGCACCCTTAAAGGTGTCACCCTTTTGATTAGATTTGTTTCACCGTTTTGGTTAAATGGAACAAACCAGATGTCCACATTAATGGTAAGAGTGTTTTTGAAGGAAGAGAATATTGCAAGTTCAAGTCTTTTTAAGTTAATTTTGCAATAAGCAGCTCTTTGGTGCTAATCAGCACAAGAACTTCAAATTATAAAAGGAAAAACCAGCCAAGGTTCGGTTCGGATGCAGGCACTGCCAAAGCTCTTATGACCATGGAGTTGTGGTTGTCCAATGATTAGTCGGTGGATATAAGTTGACCCAAAAACTCATGGTTCCAAACAAAAAAGGAAAAAGGCAGGGAGAAAACCAGACCAAAAGTATCCCCATTGCCACATCTTCTTCCTCAAAACCACAAACATCTTCTCTCTACTCCATCATCACCAGTTTTTTTGAACAACTCCACAATTTCATCATCTGGGGTCTCTTCTAGTGCAGTCAAGGTACTCTTCCACTCACTCATACCTTTACCATTTAAAAGAGTCCCCAAACTTATGAGTGTTGATGGATGCCCACCAGATTTACAAACCATATCAACCGAAAGCTTCTCGAAACCTTGTACAGGTCTAATTAGTCCTTCAAAAGCATGCTTACTAAAGAGTTCCATAGCTTCATCCATATACAACGGTCTCACGTTATATATCACTTTGATCTTGTGATTATTTAGCAGACTTTTGTTTCGACTTACGATGATTAATTATTCTACTCCCTTGACCAAACCAGTCTTTTGATCCGGCTAACTCCGTTAGGTGGTCAAGGTGATCGACATCGTCAAGGACGATTAAAACCCTAGTACGTCGTAACGTGCTTTTCATCATGTATTTTCCTTGTTTAGGGTGCTGTAACGCCACCGGTTTTTGTTTCAAAACGTTGGAGAGGATTTTTTCTTGCAGCTTAATCAAACCATGCCTTCTTGATTCGTCACGGACATTTTCCACAAGGCAGCAATCTTGAAATTGATGGCGTATTTGTTCATAAATAGAGGATGCGAGAATAGACTTACCACTACCCCAAGTCCCACATATGCCAACCATTTGGACACCATCACACCCAACTCGTAGCTGAGATATCAAATATGGCATGCACGTATCTAATCCAATTAGCTCTGTATTCGCATTTGACATTGACGTTGACATCGAGGGAAACAAGCCATCTGAAATTGTGCCAACAATTTCTTTGATAAATTCCGCCCTGCATGCATATACTCACACAGTAAGTAAGTTATGCCACAAGATAGGGTTAAGCTAAGTGATGTATGTGATAATTTGATGGAGAAAATACTATAAATTTGTTATAAATTCCTATTAAGGCAAATGAAGTAACAACTAACAAGGAATATATATATATATATATATATATATATATATATATATATATATATATATATATATA